ACCCCAAGAAAGATTTAAATCCAGCTGAGGTCAGTGGAACTCCAGAGGTCCTTTACTCGGTGCCCTAACAGTGGGCACAAGAGCTAGTCTCTTAGTGCAGAGGCCCAGCGTTCTCACCACTGGCCTCCATGTTGAGCATGGGAGAGATAGCCATTGGGAAATCCTTCTTTAGGAAGTTTTACAAAATCAAAATGGACTGTGAGCAAAGTTTTTGGTGTGCCTTCTTGTGAGAAAACAGGAATACTTTCATTGACACCTGCTGGCTCTGTTCACCAGCCTCCCTCTCTGCTCCTCACTGAATTTTTTTTTTTCATAGCTCCTTGTATGTCTCAGGTCTATAAGGTAAAGTGATTTTACCCTTCTGATTTTTGCCTCAAATGTCTTCGTTTATACACAGATATGTGTACATTGTGCTTATAAGCAAATGGCTTTGAGCCACTCATGCATTCTCCTCTCGACTTTGTGTATTCTCTGCAAAGTAAGGAGACACCTAACATCCTTCTACATGGTATACGTTTTGTTGTTTTCCCAACCTAGACATTTGGTTTTAGGGAACGGTATGAGATTTCAGATGTCTTAAAATTGCACTAGATCATTGATATTTTCTGGTGAGAGTCCTGACTTTCCTTATTTGACAGTCCCCAACAAACCTACCACAAATGCATCCCTGTGGACATGGAGCAGAGAGGTTGCCTATAACGAGGACTCGTGTATTCCAGGCTGACCTTGGACTTGCTATGTAATCAAGGATGCTCTTGAACTTGATTCTCTTGCTTTCATGCTCTTGAGTGGAAATCAAACCCAAGGTTTTGTGCACACTACCCAAGTACTCTACCAACTGAGTTCATCATCCCCACCTCCACTCCTTCTTCTAATCCTTGACATCTCTGCTGAGACCGTTCTCACTCCAGATGGCAGAGCCTCCCCACTGCCTCCTGCTTCATGTCTTATAAAGAATCTGCTCACAGATGTGTATTAAGCAGCCTCAGTGAAGATGGTGATGAGGCCTCACATGGTCATCGGACACTTGCTCAAGGTCAAGTACATTTCTCACATCAGTCTTCCCAGCAGCTTCCTTATAAAGTACTGGCGCAGTGTCTATTGCATGCATAGTAAGATTATGGTACAGAGAAGTATATGCATTCCCCAAGTTATCCCATCAACAATAGGGGATTAAACACTGGAAAGGATAGCTGCTTCCTTACAATGTCTGTCCAGGTTGTCTATTATTGTCCCTGAGCTCTTCAGATTGCAGCAGAGCCAGGCCTTTAAAAATTCAGACTCCCAGCTCAAACCCATCACCAACACATCACCAGGCTTTACCTCAGATCCTTCTGCCTAGAATCCTTTCACCCTAGTCTTGGCCTGTGTCCCTTCAGATTCCTCTGGGCAGTGGTGGCCATTTGAGTATGTTTATAGTTATCTCTTGGGATATTCAATCACTGACCACTCCCAGTTCTAAGGTGAATCTAGACTCCAAGATACTAAGTGGCCCTGGCTTATGGGAAGTTGAAGACAAGAATCTGGGTTCTTGGCCAACTTTGTCATAGTTATCGTTTTATTTCTCTTTGTTCCAAGCAGGTGGAGCAGAGCCAGAGTTTATCTCATTTGGCATGTAATATGCATATATTAAATAGGTCATGGTTTGGGTCCCAGTACTAATTTGTTGGCTTTTTAGAAGGGCTAAAAGAAGGCTATGGTTTGCCTTTTGTCCGTAAAATAGGACAAACGATGTTCTTGCCTGGAGGGAGGAACATCTAACTAGATAAACCTCCTTGGTTTCAAAGATTTGTCCAATATGACTCCTCTTCCAGTTCACAGGGGCCTGCACAGCTTGATTTTCTTATAGAGTTATATGACTGTTAGCCCTGAGCTGTACTAAGTACTAGACACCCGGGGAGCAGTAACTAGAAGCCAGGGATGGGTTGTTTTGAATAAGATGCCTAGCCTGAGCATCTTACCCAGGTGCCTGTGGGTGTGAATAACAAGGAAGTGTAGAGTAGCTAACGATCTGTGGTTAGCACACCCCGTTCAAACTATTCGGCAAATCAGCATTGACTCAGTCAACAATCAGCACAAGTGGTAAGTAGAAAGAAACAACCAGAGAAGCTCCCAGATGCTTCCTAAGGGAATAAGGAAAAGAAGTACCATTTCCAGCGTCTGTCATGTCGGGCATCTATACTGTTGGGCGCTGTGCTGGCCATTACTGGTATTCAGCAGCGCTGTTCTGTGATCTCTAGATAACCCCTTGAGTTAGAGGTTGCTGTCCCACCTCATTCACAAGTAGCCCAAAGGTGAGTGTGGTTAAGCCCCAGCAGAAAGGGAAGGGATGCACCAGAGCCATGCACACTAGTCACTGTTCTCCATAGCCTTGAACTGGTCCCACACCGACCTTTAGCCAACTTCAGCCCCTTGGCCTTTGACTGAAGGCTCTTAAGGCTGAATTATGCACCAGGAAGTTTCTTGGTCAATATTTCACAGGGTCTATTATACCTCAAGCACTCCAGGCAGTACGTGTTCAGGCGTACCTTCCTCATCACAGCTGGGAGACACTGTCCCATGCTCAGAGACCTCACCCACAAACTCCAACCATGTGTGTCATTTGTACGGTATTCAGAGGGTACAAACAGAGGTCAATAAATCACAAGTGGAAGAATGTGGATGTTCTATTAAAGTGAGGCTTAGCTACTCCTTGAAGTTAGTTACATAGTAGCCAGCAATTGCAATAGCAGATCTAAGTCTAAAAACGGAGCAGAGCTATGGGTACTTTGTATAACGTGGGGTTACATGTGTATGGGTTTACACTCTATTATACTCTGTACCAGGAGTGTGTTCTTGAGACTGAAATCAGGCATTGAGAACTTTAAAAGCAATAGATTGTCGGCTAGAAAAGAAAGGAAACAGAGAAAGTCTAGTGCCAGTTTAATGTACTTTTCAAATACCACTCAGAACACTGGTTTTCAAATATAGATCAGGTGCCTCTGCATTTCTAGAAAGGTTCATTCTGGGGTTTCTCCTCAGGTTATTTGAGTTTAGCTTAGGCCACGGAGCCCAGCAATCTGTATTTTAACCACCCTCTCCTCTCAGTGATTCTGGTAGACTAAGGCTTGAACACTGACCAGAAAGGCCAATTCTGTTTGTGTCCCAGACCAGAGACTATCAAGGGAAGGTCTTCTTGGGCCTTGTGCATGCAGTAGGTGCTGGTTCTTGGTGGCTGTTTTTCTGAAGTATTCTGGTAAAAAGTGAACATGTCTAGTTAAATGTTCCTTCCCTAAGGCAAGCTTTCTGTTTTATGAACAAAGGTAAGGTTGATGAATATCTCTTTCTGTATACTAATATTTTACGAACCTTTAATTTTGTGTGTGTTTGGAGTGTATGTGTGTGTGTGTGGGGGGTGTTATAGATGCATTTACTCCTTCAGATGTGTATAGAGACCAGAGGACCACATTGGTTATCTTCCTTAATTGCTTTTTACATTTGCTACTGCTATAATTGTTATTTGGTTAGACTAGGGGGCCAGTGAGATGAGAACAGCCCATCCCTGCCACCCACACAAGCATCTCTACTCAGCTCTTATATGGGTGCTAGGGATTTGAACTCAGGTCCTCAAGGTTACACAGCAAGCTTGTCACCCACTGAGTCCCCTCCCAGCCCTGTGTTTTACTGTCGGTCTCTTATGAAGGGTTCATAACATAAACTTATTGTTGGTGATAGCAAGTAGGAGTTAATACACTCAGGATCTTGAAGTATTTTCTGTAGTCTTTGCGAATACACTGGAAGTCGTAATCTTTGTTGGGGTAGCCCCTTAAGGCTAACTCTCTCCATTGTGTGTTGGGAGCGATTTCTAGGACAGGGTCGCTGTTTATCCTCAGGCCTCAAACTTCTCATAAATTCTAGGGTTTTGTTAATACAACACCCTGGACAGCTGACCAGCTCTCAGATTGGCTTGAAACTGGCACCATGGAGAGATAGAAACAATTGATCAAGTAAAGACTTGAAGGGTGAATATATAAGAGAGCTTTGTGTTTTCTGAACAATCTCTCCATATAAGTTGGTTTCTCTCTCTCTCTCTCTCTCTCTCTCTCTCTCTCTCTCTCTGTGTGTGTGTGTGTGTGTGTGTGTGTGTGTGTGTGTGTGTGTGTGTAGGGGTGCATGTGTAGATCAGAAGATAACAGGAAAGATAACAGTCAGCTGTCTCCTTCCTCCCTTATGTGGGTACCGGGGATTGAACTCGGGTCGTCAGACTAGCACTGGTACTTTATCTGCTGACCCATCTGACTGTCTCTACCTCCATTTTTTTTTTAATGAAAACTTGAATAATTTAGAGCATTTGGGTTAGCAGAACCAGAGAATCTGAGTGGATCAGCACTGTTAATAGACAAACTACATTCGGTGAGAGTTTCCGTCTGCTTCTCAAGTTAAAGACTGTACTATGTCTAAGGACTTGTAGTCAGGAAACTTGAAATTTAATCTATACTTTTCTCAAGCCTCTACCTTCGGGTGACTACCGAATTTTCTAGGCTTCAATGTTTAGTTTTGAACTGTTTGTTTATTTTATCTGTCATGGTTTAGGTGAGTAATTATTGTTTTATATCCACTAGAAGGAAAGTCTTTCTATTCATGTGATAGAAAGAGATGAGACTGAATGGGCTGTAACCTTAACTTTTCTTGATAGGCTTTTATTTGTGGAAACAGATTTCCTGTGTCACTTAATAATCTCTGTGAAAATCTGTCAAGGATCTGAAAGTGATGTCAATGTTAGGTGTCGGGCAGATCATCTTTAAATTTAGAACACTGGTTTCTTTGTGTTTCTGTGTTGTTTAATTTGGCTCTGTTTGACAAGAAGATTTATTAAAATCTGCTGATTAGTTTATGGCTGTAAATACGAGCCAGGAACTGGTGTTCGCATCTTCCTTCCATTTTGCTGTTTTCGTTTGCTTGTTTGTTTCTAATGAAAAAGAAAAGTATAGCACCATTAATCGTGAGCTGTTTCCTTGCAGTGACCCATATGTGAAGCTGTCATTGTATGTAGCTGATGAGAACAGAGAGCTTGCTTTGGTTCAAACCAAGACAATTAAAAAGGTAGGTTGGCCAACTTTTACGAAATTCATATAAGTCATAATTTAACATTTTGTATTTATGAAATTCATATAAGTCATAATGTAACATTTTGTATTTTTGCTTGGTAGCAGGTTGTGTTTTAAGGATAAGATAGCAAATTTGTATTTTATTCTAAGTGTCCCTTAAGTATTATATCTGAAAATCATCCATAGTCCAAAACTTTTTCATGTTTAATTTGAGTTATTATATAAAGTTTTTTTTTTCTTATAACACATATAACCAAGCAAATTAATTGTTCTGGTTAACTCGATATTTTTCATAGAATCATATAAGCTATAGTTTAAAGTTTACCTAATGGAGTGGATTATGGAATTAGTAGGTAGAAGAGAAATTGTTTGACCTGAAATAACTGTTACAGAAGAAAGTAACTTGCTTAGTTATGTGAAAATAACTTGGAATGTATTAATAATAAAGTTATAGATCCATACATATGTCTTTTCCCATTGCTGGTGTGTATCCTGCATGCTCATGTGGATGAAAAAGTAAACACGGATGTGTGGGGGCCAGAGGTAAAAATCCGGTGACTTCCTTAACGTTTCCGTCCCTGTTTTTTTGAGACAGGTTCTATTGCTAAACACAGAGCTCATTGGCTTGGGTAGATGGGCAGGGTAGCAAGCTGGTCTCGTCCAGGAATGACAGGTGCTGTGCATTGCTCCGCCCACTGTTTACATGGGTGCTGACACAGCAGACATTTTACTGAGTGAGCCATCTCAGCCCTATAAAAATAATGTCTAAATCCACTCACCCCTTTCCTCTGGTTGACATATATAAAATGCAAGTCTATTTCTTGGGGGTGGAAGTGGCTTTGTGAAAGCTGCATGTTTTTTACCAAGAATACTATAATACTATATTTGTGTTTGGGGTGTTTGTGAATTACTATTATTCCCCCCAACACACACACACACACACACACACACACACACACACACACGCACACACACATACACTCTGCTTCTCTGAGTCCGTTAAATAGTCTCACCACTTTGCAAAAATGTATCCTGATTCCACGATTGCTTTAAACACATTGCATCCTTCCTGCTGCTATGGAGACACTTCAGATTTCTGGCACAGGGGGGTCATTTTGTACAGGAAACAGTAATGTGGTGTTCTTCACCTGACATTGAGACGAGCAGTAAAATCTGTTTGCAAACAGAGGCCAGTGTACAGATTAGTGGGAGGCTGCCTATGGAGACGGAGGCCATTGTTTCCTGTGTTAGGCGCTGGCATTCGTTCTGTTCCCAGTGAAGCTGGGGCACCTAGTTTGAACAGCAGTCAGGGGCCCTAGTCCCCTGCTGGACTAGAGCCAAGGACACATGCCAATGACAAGGGTATTGCAATGTCTTTCATTTGGAGTGGCAGCCCTGTTTCTCCCTCCGTTCGCCAGCTGGAGGGAGTGTCTCCATTCCTGCAGCCAGCCTCCTGGTTAGTATTTGCTGTGCTGTGTTGTGCCGTGTTGTGCTGAACTGTGCCGTGCTTGCAGGAGAGCTAAGGCTTCCTCTCCTTGGGTCCCTGCTCCATTGCCTTTTCGGTCACCTTTTGTCCCTTGCCTGCCTGGCAGCACCTACTTCATCCCATGTACCTGTCTTCCAGGTCTGGAGGGAAACATTCACACACACACACACACACACACACACACACACACACACACACACGCCGCCAATTCCATCTCATTTCTATTCATGCCTCAAAGTGTGATCATTGAGGAAGGGGTCTTTTTGAGGAGTTGGGGTGTTGGGGGTAGTGGGATTTTTTTTTTAAACCAATGCAATTCATTGCCAGTGTTGTTTGTATTGTTTGTATGGTATTATATTTGTTTGTGTGGTATTCTGTACTTGGTTTTTTTTTTTTGCTTATTTATTTTCTTTACTTTTTTTTCCTTTCCTCTGTTAAAAGGCAAGTGTGTTGATGAGTTGTGTTTTTTTTTTTTTGTTTTCAGAATTTTTACAGGTCATTTTTAACAAGTTGTGTTTCTCTGACTTTTATGCCTGTACAAATGTGTGTGTGTGTGTGTGTGTGTGTGTGTGTGTGTATGTGTGTTTCTCTTCATAAAAAGTGCTTTATATTAGTTTGAAAAGATGTTTTGTTCCTTGCTGAGCATCAAAATATCATTGCTGTGTTCTTGCAAGATGTGTTTTTAAATATGTCGATAAAATATGAATCATACATGGAGAAGATCAAAGGATATTTTTAAATTTTTTTTGAGAAAAAAAATGCAGTTCCCTTTGTTATAACCTCCCTCTCTTTTCTGTGTGTGTGTGTGTGTGTGTGTGTGTGTGTGTGTGTGTGTGTGTGTGTGGTGTGTTAAAATCTCATCAGTATTGTTCTTTATAAAGTATTCTTCAGATGTCAACACTGATGTAAGGAATGAGCGTGTTCAGCCATTCCGGGTTTAGCACACCCTTGCAGCAGATAAAGGGGAGGTCAGCAAAGTTTTCTTCCTTCTTGACAGAGTAAATCAGTTTAATGTCATTTTCTGAAGGGAAGTTTCGTTTTCATGGCTCTTTGTCAGCAAGTCCCAGCATTTTTCCTTCGGGTGAGCTTGTTCATGAAACGTATGGTTCCATGGTCATGAATCATCATAAATACTGGCCCTCCTCGTGCATTTTGGTTTTATAAAATAGTCTCAAGTAATTGACTAAGCGTTGCTTTTATTGCCATTTTGAAAGTCGTTTTTATGAAGGAAATGTCTGTGCAAATGTGAAGAGTTGTATTATATTAGTAACTGTCAGTTCCAACCCAGCTGAAGATCACAAACTAATCTCTCTTCCAGACGCTGAACCCAAAGTGGAATGAGGAATTTTATTTCAGAGTAAGTTTTTCTTTTTTCTTCTCTTTTGCAATGATTGTTATTGGTCTCTAGATTGATGATATTGATATATCAAAAAGGACTCCTGGAAAGAAAGCTAGTTAGCATTTTAAGTAAGAGATTTCTCTTAAGACAGAGAATGTTTGGGCAGGTAGCCTCTGAGTTTGTCCCAAATTTTGAAAATCTGTGGAGATTTCATTTGGAGCTGTATAGGAGAAATAAACAGGTTGTCAAAAATAACAACTCAAACTTTCTTTAAAAACAAGATTGGATTAAGGATTAAGTCAGGTTAATTTCAGTTGTGGGTTTGTTTTGTTCTGGAACCTGTGAAAAAATGGAATTTGAAGAAAAAGGCAAGAAGCCATGCAGTTTAAAACAAAAGTTGAATTTCTATGTGATATGGATTATGAATTGCTCATCCATAGTAGGAAGATGATTGAAAGGAGGCATTACACTTAGCCAGCAATGGGGCCAGGGGTGGTTCGGTTGAAGAGATCTTGCCTACTACTCCGGAGACCCTGGGTTTGATCCTCAGTGCTGCTTCCCCACAAAAGACAGAAAAATTACCAGTTATGTTCTGGCTAGAAGGGAAAAGTTTCTAATTCAGAGCTCTAATGCATACAATTACTTTCAATACCAGCGAATAGGAGAACATTTCCTCGGCCTCCGGCACTCCCTGTTTAGAGCAGCTGGATACAAAAGGGGATTCTCTGAATTAGTGGAGACTGGTGCTTACTGGTCTTTGCTAGCAGATATTACGACACATTAAGGCCCTGACCATTTAATTGGAAGAGAAGTCCTTTCCTGTTTTTTAGAAAAAATGAAGGCTTGAGTTGTCTATACACTTGTGATATTAAACACCTCCAAACTGCTCCAGCTCAGGCCTGCTAGTGCTGTTAGGCCCCGTGAGCAAGATCCTGGCTTCTTCCTCTCAGCCATGCTCTAGGGTATTTTGCACTGCAAAGCCATTTGGATGACTTACCCAGCATCTGTTTTCTATTATGCTCAGAGCTGCAATATGGCTCTGAGGCTTTAACACTTGGTAGATCCCATGCCCAGCCTCTACAAGATATATTTTAGATAACTCTGTGAAGAGCCAAAAAGCTGTTGGAGGTGAAGAAGAGTCTGTTACTGGCTCTTAGGTGTCTCTCAGATACAACAGGCAGCCTTCTCGTGAAACTCCAGATGATTCGTACCCCTCCTATTTGAACCACGTTGTATAAGTTTTAGTAGATATAAAACTGTTTTAGTGAATTGTACTTGTGGGCATATTTCTGTTTTTTATTAAAGATCTTTGTTTTATTCCCTTCCACAATTTCATATTGAACACCTATTAATGTGCCTGCTCCTACTATAGACTATTTATTGATTTATTCCAGATGAGTATGGGGCCTTTGCAGTCTTGATGAACAGGCAGCCATTCATCTGCTTGTTCTGTCGCTAAGCTGTCTACAGACGCAGGGCCAAGAGCTCAAGTTGAGCCCACAGGCTCTCTGTGCTACACTCAGCTATAATGCCATTCCATGTTCCATTAGGAAGGAGCCCAAGTCTAGCATTAAACCCAAGTCTCATGTCTGTCGTGACCACTCAGAGCCTCTTAGAACACCTAACATTCACAGTCTCCTGGATCCCTTTTCACCCCAACAAAAAAGAGGTCTTTTCAGTGTAGTCTTTTCTTCCCTGATTGACAGGCAAGGATGTAAATATCAGTACCTGATGCTGTGTATGGGAGGGTTGGTAACTAGTCAGAGGCACCTGAGTCTACTTGATGAAACATGGGTCATAGGTGAGTTTTGGGAAAGAGAAAGACGCAAACACCAGGGGCTGTGACTTTACCCGTACCCAGGGCAAGGTCTGAATGCTCAGTATACTGGCTTGTGGGTTCCTGGACAATTTGCTTCAAGTCCCTGGTTCCAGTGATTTCTGGTGTGAAAATGAATCGGTAGTTACACACTGTTGGGTTGTTGGGAGAATTAAACGAAGCCATATAGTGTTAGTGCTTCAGGAAATTATAGTTGCAAGTGGGACATCATTGTAGGTGGTGAGTAGCTTGGCATAGGGCCTTGACCTACAGATATGTGGGTAGCTCTGTAGAAGAGACGAGTAGTCCTTTTAGACTGTTGAGACTCACTCTTCAAGAGACCATGATAAAGGTATTGTCTTTTTCTGGTATGCCTAGATATTCAGGGTAGAATTATGGCAGATAAGCAGATCAGTTACTGATATACAGTATTGTTGAGTGTGCTAGGAGTCATTCTTAATTATTCCTGTCTCTTATTTCATTTTTAAAATTATACCTGTTGGTTTTTTGAAATATAGTTTCTGTTCCTTTCAGGTAAATCCATCTAATCACAGACTCCTATTTGAAGTATTTGACGAAAACAGATTGGTAAGTCCTTGGTTTTGAGTTTTGATTTATTTCCTAAAAACTGGATTTTTTGAGTAGTGCCTTTCAGATCCTCTGGATCACCCAGCAGTGCACATGCCCCAAGAAGACTGCTTTTTGTTTTACTGTTTAAGTTCTCAGTTCCAGCAAATATTTGTGTGTTGCTAGGTCAGAAAATTGATTTGGTTATATGTGTATTTTTTTTTATAGTTAGTACTAATAAAAGTCACCTCTGATGGCCTCACCCCAAATGCCTTATTATGCTTTCTTTGAGGAAAATGGATGAGTGTGTGCATCTGTAATGAGGCCATCAATCTTGTGAACAAGCCTCTGTGGTCATTTCAAAATGCTCCTCAGACATACAATACCACAGCAAATTCACCAACAACTCTATGGTGATTGTCTCTGGGGAAACAAAAATCTAATTACCAGTTAGTTTATAATTAAAGTCTCTTCAGTAGGTGAAATCAAATAGGGGTACTTTCTCAAGAAAGGAATTTGAAAAGACTAGCATAAGGGCTGGAGGTATGGCTCAGTGGTAGAGGACTTATCTGGCATGTGCAAAGTCCCATTCCCAATACCATAAAGACAACAAACGCATACATGAAAGAAATCCCACCAAAACCAAAATAAGAATTCTCAAAGACATGCTTTAAGAAGAGAGCTGATATAATAACTAGCATTTTATATATAGACTCCGTGTGTGTGTGTGTGTGTGTGTGTGTGTGTGTGTGTATGACATAGAATATACACTGCATATGTGGTAATCAGAGGGACAGCTCTGTGGAGTGAGTTCTCTCCTCCCACTTTTATGTCAGTCCCAGGGACACAGGTGGCATGACAAACATGTCTCTGTCTACAGAGACATTTAGCTGTCCCAGTGTTTTGTTTTCTTCAGTAACTCAAATGTTTATAAAAAATTCTCATGAGCCAAGGATCCTAGCTATGAAATTGAACATTATCAGGTTATGTGTCAGTCTTTTGAGCACTCTCAAAAGTGGAAATACAATTCAGGGCACTTGATCAATTACACTTCTATTTACTGCCCTGCCTTTAGAAGTGTACCTTAGTGAACTCATCTTTCTACAGAATTCAATAGAAACTCTGCAAACTGTAGAATAGCTTGAGGCTGACACAGTGTATCACTAAGAGGATCCTTGAGACAAAGTTATGCTCTTCCTGTTACTAGGGATGTAGGAACTCTAGTTTCAAGAGTAATGAAATGCCAGGAAGGGGACACACAGGATCTAACGCCTTGTCTTGTTGGTGTCGGCTTATGCTGGGGAATAACTTGACCTTCTACCCTTGATAAAGAATTTGAGGGTGCATGTAATCTGACGTGCTTGGCTTTCGTCTTGCAAATGGAACCCTGACGGATTGACCCTCGAGTCCCAGCATCTTTCCTGTTATAAATATGGGATCAAGGTGGCTTTGTTGAAATGGAATGTGTCTTGGGAGAGTGATCATTAGGGGTGAGGACTAACTCTCCCGTGAGTTGCACACTGTAGTTCCCGGCCTTTCACACTCCCATCCAGCAAGGGCTGGCCAGTGAGTGAACTAGCAGCATTCACTGAACTAATGCAAGCAGTAAGTCTGCAGGAACGGGCCTCCACACACTGGTACGTACCCTCCGAATCGTGGAGGAAAGGCCACGGTTGGACTCGAAGAGAAAGTACCTCTTTGTTCTTCTGCTAGAGAATTTTATTGTTTGAAAAGTGTTGGATTTCCCATTGTGTGCGATCTAAAATAATGATTCCAATTGAATGACCTTGCCATGGGTAAGAAACTTATGTTTCCAAACCAAAATGGGGCTTTGAATGCAGTGATTTTAAACACTCGATGAGCAGTTGTGTTTTATGCGTTCATGCTCCGCCTTGCCCCGGGCTGTCTGCTGTGTGGTTACTATCCATAGAATATCAATGGTGCTGGCAGTGGGTTTTTCTTTGTTGACTGTTAATCCAGTGAAGACAATACGTGACTAGAGTCTACTTGGAAGTTCTGGCACAGAGCAGACCAGAGTCTAGATTTCACAGAGGATATTTTTTGCCATTCAAAACTCTGAGCTTTTAGAAAACAAGTTCGGGGGTGTGTAAACACTGGACTAATCCGCCACACCCTCTGCTGCAGAGCTGTTGACAGAAACATGCTTTGTAGATTTTAAAGTAAGTTTTTTGTCACTCTTAGGAGCCTGGTATTTTCCCCTTCTATTTTTTAAAGCCCTGCCTAAATAAATCTCTTTATTAAGCAACTGATGTTTCTGGGGCATGGGGAAGAGTATATTTAATGCTCAGAGAATATTTCCAGGTTTGTTATGAGTCTGATGAGGTTTTTTGGGGCATTCACTTTTAGTTTTCAGATCTTTTCTGGCGTGTCGCAAACAGAAAGATTCTAGGTTTGTGGCCCAACTGTGGTAATCTTGATGAGTTCTGCCTGTACAAAAGCTCCAGGCATTTCTTCTGTATGCTATTCAAGTTAAATTACTACAAAGCCCACATATATACTGCTCGTCATATCCCCCCCCTTCTCTCTTTCTCTGTGTGTATGTGTGTGTGTGTTGTGTGTGTGTCTCTCTCTCTGTCTCTGGGGTGTGTGTGTGTGGATGTGTGTGTGTGGTGTCTGCTTGTACCTGTATGTGTCATGCAAGAGAGATTGTTTTCCCCTGCTGGGTTTCTTTTCTCTGCTAACTGCTGTGTCTGGAAGTCATACTATATGTGACACACACACCCCTCTTTAAATGAAGAATGTTTATAGTAAGTAGCAGGCGCTGGACCAGGCCCGCAGCTGGCTGTGCAGTAGTGTGCCCCCCTGCGCCTCCACTTGGCTATTTTTTTACTTGTAGATCATGGTCTAATAATTTCCCATTAAAGGGACACTAATTCCTCGGGGTGTGTAATCGTATTTATAGTACATTTTATTACTTTGCATTCCCTCGTGGTAGGGTGGTGATATCATAACAGAAACATAACATTTGATGCTTGAGAGAGTTCACCCTGCAGCCAAGCTGTGTTTTACTCGTTCTCCGGTGCGGTGGGGAGGTGGATGACATACCTTTTGGGTACTGGTGCTTGATGCAGCGTCTCTGGCATCAGCTAGAAAGAGACCTGTTGCTCCTGGTAGTCAGGAAAGCAATGCCCTGTGGGTGTGATAGGTCAGATTTACAGCATGGTTGGGAGTGTGTCTGCTGCCTTAGTCAGCTGCCCCAACTCCCTGCTGGGCCGCCCCTTTCTGACAGAACTGCGGCAGCTGGGAAGGTGGTGTTTCAGGCTCTTGCTGTTCAGGGGGGGTAGATAGCAAGAGAGGGGAAACTTCACTAAGTCCAGAAGCTGGCATTGGAGGGGGAGCAGGCGGTCATGTGTCTCTGGCCATCCTACCCTCTGTCACAGAGTAGATGAGAGCTTTTTGCTCTTATCCAATCATGCCTGGAATGCTGCTTGCCACTTGGGCTATTTCTGCTATCTGTCGCTCTTGGTGCCGCAGTGCTAACGGTTTGGCAGATGGGACACTTTTTCTTGGAGTTGGTGTCTTTGGGTTTTGACTTCTGGCAGTGCTGGGCGTGTTGTTGTCGCTCGCCCTCTCCCTCCCGGCCCCCCTGGTCACCATGGCCCATCGGCTTCGGTTTCATTTTGGCTCTGGCCGCAGCAATACGGCCCCCGAGTCTGAGATTCTAGACCAGGAGAGAGAAGAGGACTTTTTCATGGCATTCCAGACGCTGCCACGGAGAAGCAGCCCGCACCCCTTCACCCAGAACGCAGGGGAGGACAGTGGCCTGCAGGAGGGCGTGGGCGCTCTCAAGCGCAGCTCATCCATGTTCATCCCGCAGCTCCTGGCCGGGGTGGACGCCAGGCCCACCCGCAGCTCCTCCATGCAGATCTCGCTGCAGCGAAAGGCCGCAGACGGTGCCACAGACAGCTGCGGGCCACCAGAGGGACCTGACGACAGGCCCCCAAGTGCCCAGGCTGACCTCGGAGACCAGGCCGCAGCCACAAGGGTCTCGGCTCAGATCAGTTCTTCGGAGCCCTCTCCTGTGGACACTCCTGGGAGCTCCCCTCCAAGGGCAGCCTGGGACCCGGGGACCCTGGTCAATGGCACTTGTGACCACCGTGGTCAGTGTCCCCGCCTGGCCGAGGGTACGGAAGAGGCCACCCCAGGCCTGCGCATCCAACACAGAGCCTCAAGCGCTGACGTGCGTCAGGTGCGGCTGCTGCCCTTCGGCCCGGATGGCCAGGCCGAACCCAGGCGCTGGTCCCTTCAGCATGTTCCAGATGCTTCTGGAAGCTCCGGGAAGCGTTGCTTTGTCTTTCAACTGCAGCAGCCCCAGCAAGGCACTCTGGGGCTGGGCGGTGACTTCAACTTTGGCTTTACTGGCACTAAGGGGGACAGGTTGGTGAGATATCCACGCATTCGGTTGGAGAGGAGCACATCATACCCTACCCAGCCCCGAACAGGCCGGGTGAGCCCCACTGAAGACAGAGGAACCCAAGAGGCATCACCTCGGGCCAGTAGGATGGTCCCCGAGATCCGCAGGACAAATTCAGAGAGGACCCCACAGAGTCCAGGGTGCATGTTCAAGATCAGGCAGGATCAAAATGCGGGGCAGCAGCATTTCCGAATTCTTGTGACTCGGGGACCTGAAGAAGCCCCCCCAAACCAAGAGGAGACTCCCAAGAGCCCTGGACACCCTGGAGCTGGTGCTCCGGTAAGTCCGCAGGTACACATGTTTGAGTGACTCAGAGGGGACCAGGCCAACCCAGAAAGCTTGGTTATTTTGCAGCCTGATTCTCTGCTGAGGGAATATCCCTCCCTGTTGGAATCAGTGGATCCCAGTGTTTGGGTAGCAGTCAATGAAGCTAGTTAGCCTTTCAGGGGGGAAAAAATATTTTCTGTAAGTCCTGGATGTCAAAAAGCTCTGTCTATTTTGGAATCTCTAGCTTATTACACACCCTTTTAAGATTTCCTTCTGGATGAAAGAACTTTAAAAATATATTTCTTAAAAGTAGTCTGCT